CATTAGCAGTGGCAAGAAAAGGCCTACCCAAAATTAAAGGAATTTTAGAAGTAGTATCAACAACAGAGCAGAGCTAGTGTCAAGGATTAGAAAATCAACAGGATAATAAAATTTGTCAATTTGAATTAGAATATCCTTTACCACACCCCGAGGTACTTTGACTGAACGGTCAGCCAATTGCAATACCATAGTGATTGGTTTGATTTCTCCCACCCCTAATTGCAAATAAATAGAATATGACATTAGATTCACGCTAGCTCCTAAATCTAACAAAGCTTGTCCAAACTCATGGTTTCCAATGCTGCATGCAATGGTTGGACGACCAGAAGCCTTGTACTTGGGAGGAATCCACTGCTCAATTAGAGCACTAAATTGTTCTGTCAGGAATGATGTCTTCTTCACATGGTGTTTCTTCTTAACTGTACACAAATCCTTGAGAACTTTTGCATAAGTAGGAACTTGTTTAATCACATGCAAAAGAGGAAGATTGATTTTTACCTGCCTTAAATTCTTTAGGATTTCATTGTTAGGATCCAGAGTTCACTTGCTTGATTTTAAAGTTTGAGGGAATGGTACCTTAACAAGACTCTTTGTTACCTCAGGTTCCTTGGGCAGCTCGGCATCATTACTATCTTGACCCTTGTCTACATCCTCTGATTTGTTCATTGTTGTGATGTGTAATGAATCACCATTTCGTGTCACAATGACATTCACATCCTTCAAATTCTCTTGCGTCATGTGTTGACCATGGGGTGCGGACTGAGTTTGAGAAGGGAGCTTACCTCGCTCATTCACACTCAAAGAGCTCATCAATTTGGACACTTGGCTCTTTATCTCTTTGTTTTCTTCAACAACTTGCATAATCAAATATTCAAATTTTCAGTTAGTTTTACCTTGTGTCTCAATGAAAGCATGCAAAGAGTCTTCTAAAGCACTCCTAGAAGATGAAGGTGCATGATAAGGTGTAGGATATGATCTAGGGGGTTGTGTAGGTGGTTGATTTTTAGACTCAGCTAAAATTAGGGTGATTACGCCACCCTGGATTATAGGTATCAAAGTAAGGTGTAAAAGGCTTCTTGTATATACCTAAGGCATTACATTGTTCCTCATACATCCCTCTTATCTCAACAAGTGTGAGACATTCTTGGGCGAGGTGATCTACCCCGCCACACACAAAACATGGTCCAAAAGACTTTGTATGATTAGCCACGTGTGTTGGTTTTAAGTCCTTAGTCTTTAACATTTCTAGCTCCCTAGTGAGCATTTCAACCTTAGCCTTTAGGCTATCCTCTTCCCTAAGATGGTAAATTCCACTACCATTTGGGTTTCCTGCAGTTCGTGACCTATCTGTGCTTTCAGTAACACTAGGTCCAATCCAAGTGTGAGCTTTTTCAGCAAGCTCATTGAGGTAGTATTCTATGGCCTCATCAGGATCTTTTTGTAAGAACTGACTATTACATATCATCTCCATAAATTAGCGCTCTCTAGGTGTAAGTTCCTCATAAAAATAGCTCACTAAGCGCCAATTCTCATACCCATGGTGAGGACACACACTCAACAACTTCTTAAATCTCTCCCAAGACTGATACAAAGTCTCACTGTCTTTTTGTGCAAAGGTGAAAATTTGTCTTTTTAAAGCGTTGGTCTTATGTTGAAGGAAATATTTATTAAAGAAGACCTGAGTCATCTCACTCCATGACCCAATAGATCGTGGTCTCAGCGAATATAACCAATTCTTAGCTCTATCCTTCAAAGAGAAAAGAAAGAACTTAAGTTTCACAACATCATCAAGTGTAATTTGATTATGAAAAGTTACAACTACTTCCTCAAACTCCCTAATGTGCACATATGGATTTTCATTTTTCAAGCCCTGAAAATTAGGGAGTAAATGTATCATTCCTGTTTTAAAATCCAGTTGGCGAGTATTAGCTGAAAACATGATGCATGATGGTGTGGCTATGCGTGTAGAGTGGAGGTAATCATGAAGAGTTCTAATGGGTTGATCTTCGTGTTCACCCATTTTTTCAGGACTTGATGGATTTTCAAATAAATGATTTTATAAAATCTAATTCTAATTCTACCACAGGCCTACTAGCAAATCTACCCAAGGTGTCCCTATATCTGTGCATGCAAGGCAATAAAATACTAAAAGAATAAAACTACTATAAAAAGAAAGAATAATAATAATGCAGCAAACTAAAAGAAGGAACGAAGTTATCACTTTTGCAGACTGTTGAAAAGAAAAACTATCTACCAATTCTTTTACCGTCTCCTCGGCAACGACGCCAAAATTTGATTACGTCCAAAGAATAACGCGGTAATTGTAGCACAGTTTTGGGGTGTCGATTCTCTAAAGAGACAAATTAAAATAATAATAGAATGAACAAAGAAATTAAAGAACAATATTAAATGATTATTGAATAATAAAGATTAATTTTAAATACAAATTAAAGTGAAGCAAAGTGACTAACGGAAAAAGTATTCAAATTTGACAAACAGTAAAGTGTTGGAAATCCCTTACACAAATCTGGTATTTTAATTATTCTTAATTCATTAAATAACTCAATTGAGAATTTAATTCCCAAAATTCCCAACCGGAAGATATAGATTTATAAACCAAGATTAAACCAAATGTAACCCTTTAAAAAATCATTCACCACTTTGTAAATACTTAAATTATTATCACTATTGAAAAAATCCAACGACGACAATATATGCAAAAAGCAACATTGCAACAAAGAGTTAAATCAATATAGATAAATAATTGATCCAAACATAATCAAAGAGCTAATCCATTCATTAGAAAAAGTATGACTGAATTCATAAACAGAATAAATTCTATGATTATTCGGAGAAGAAAATATCAATAAAAAAATGAGAATGATAAAACAAAAGAGTTGTACTAATTAAAAATTAAATACTGAAATTAAAAATAAATAAAATATTATTTACTGTACAAGTTCATTCCTTACCTTACTTGAGAATTTAATTCCTCCTATGAATAACAAAATTCTCTCAAAGAAAAAAAACAAACCCGCGGCTATTGAAGTTTTTTTTTTTTTTTTTTTGATCTATGTTCGTCCTCTGCCCAGCCGCCTCCTTCTTTTCCTTTTGTTCCCAGCCGCCACAGCACACACACGAAAAAGTAATGCAAGGGTTTTGTTTTAAAAGTCGATAACCTTTTGAAAAAATATATTTTCCTTTCCTCTTTTCTTTGGCATTTTTACTTCAACTCCTCTTGATTCTAATTTTTTTACTTTAGTCCCTAAAGTCCAAATCTTGTGTAATTTGAAGAAGATAAAACCCAATAAAATTATGAGTGCCGGACCCATGTAAAAACTATATCAGTTTCAGCCTTTTTGCTTCATAGACTGTCATCAAAATAAAAAAAAAACAAATATAAAAACTTAATAATAAAGTTCCAAAAATATTAAATATAAAGCTCAATTGTAAATTATTTTTCACCAATCAATGACAATATTTAAGATTTAAAATATTATAAAATTATGCTCAAATATATCTCAATGTGAATAGATATTAAATTAAATAATATAAATTATATCTAATTATTTATATTCACATTTTAGTATTTTAATCCAATAATAGAGTATTTAGAATGCATTTTCGCTTCCTCATCAAGACCCCTTTGGACTTGGTTAGCTGAACTTTTGGAATTGGGGCCTTGAACTTGTAACATGAGTTGGACCCTTAGGTTTGACCCAACAGAATGCAAATGTTTTTTATTAGTCTCTAGGGGCTGTGAACAAGTTCGTAAAAGTCCCTCGGTATATGTAATGTTTAAGGGGTTACATAATTATAAGGGGTTTTCCAAATATTTGGGCTGCTTTGACTTATTATTGGTTCTTTCATGTTTAAGGATGCATCTGAGTGTTAAGTATTTCTTCGGTTTACTTGATTTTGGTGGAACACGATTGATACCTAAAATATTTAATTCGATTGATTGAGATAACTCTACTTCGTCTGACATATATGATTCATTCAATTTTTTTTATAGTTTCACTTTTCTATTTCTCGAGAACTATGGTGTGAGGAAATTAGATGAACTTTTCGCCATCCTCATTGCGACCATGGCACTTTCTTTTGCATGGATGTTTGGTGGTGTTGAGCTTCTTCTTGGTAAGGACTTTCTTTTTGATGTAATGGAAGTTTGTTTCAATATGTGGCCTGTTTTTCTGTAATTATAAACTATAGCTTCTTGAATCTAAAGCATTGCCAATTTGGACTCATTGTAGGTATTTTAATTCCAAAACTCAACTCGAAAACAATACAACAGGCTGTGGGAGTTGTGGGTTGCATCATCATGCCTCACAATACCTTCTTACATTCCGCACTAGTACAGTCAAGAGAGATCGACCAGCACAAGATTGGCCGAGTTGGAGAAGCTCTCAATTACTACTTGATAGAGTCTGGTGTTGCCGTTGCAATCTCCTTCATAATCAATCAATTGTTACAACTGTTGTTCTGATTGTTCCTATTTTTATACAAAATATTGTTTTACAATATTTTAGTCTACTATGTATGCAGTCGCATTTGCGAAATTTGGAAACACTTTAACCAAATAGTCTTCGGTTTTTGTCCTTGGCGACACATCTGCAAGTTGCAATGATATATTAAGGTGGACTCAAAAAATTTTAAAGCTATCATTGACATTGGTTTGATGGTTAAAATTGTAAATTAATATGAAAATAAAGAGAGTAGATCAAAAAAAATAATGGTTTGTCTGTGGCCCTATTATATAATAAATTATTTTTTAAAATAAATTAAATATTAGATAATACCACTTCATTTTATCCGAGAAATATCCTGAATTTTCATCGGATGAGTTTGGATTATTAATCCAAACCAGTCCAATCTCCAAAAGCTTTGCCAAACACCCCCTATAAGTTTGTTTGGAGCATTCAGAGTGAGCTCATCTAACGCAACCCAATCCCTCTTCTTCTTCGACACACCGAACACTCCAATTTCACTCTTCAATTCCCATGGCTACTCATAAGCTCGCAGCGATCATAAAAAACCCATTAAACGACGACGAATTTCTTCTCACGAAACAGGCACCACCACCCAAGTTCAACGACGAAGAGTACGATTCTTTTGTCGATTCTGACCTCTGGGACTTGCCTTCAGCAGAACTGAATCCACTAGAAAAAGAATCGAAGTCTCAGTTTGTCATCCAAGATGAAGAATTGTGCTCAGAGGAGCTCAATTTGAGTAATTATGATCTCAATTCAGCTCTCAATCAGGTAACAATCAATTCCATTGCGTTTTGACTACACGAGGCATAGAAAAATGGAAAATAAGATATGAGCCATGTTGAAGAATGATGTATTTACCATTCATAAAATTATTATTGTCAATCTCCAATTGGACTACCAATTGGTAGTAAAAGAAGCAGAATAGTATGTGCTAAAAAAGGGAAGTGATATTTCAATGCAGTATAGTTTTGGCGGTTTGATATGTCCTGAAATGTGTCTGTCGTTTGATAATGTGGAGGAGTTTATATATTTTTGATGGTTTTGATTGTAGATTTTGGAGCAAGTGGGAGTTGGGACACCCAGTGGGGTGCAGTGGAAGTTCTGGAAGTGTGTGGAGGAACCTGAATTTGGGCCAGGATTGCCTATAAAGACGGTGTACATTGTCGGAAATTTAGTTCCTGACGATGGGAACTCAAGAGGTTTGATTGACCTAATGCTGATGATGTTGCCATAATTGGTTAAATCCTTTGTGATTCTTATTCCAGATGCTAAACATACTGGCCTTTCGAAGGATGGCTTTGGCCTTCATTGTAGGTTAATTTTAGAGGGCAAAACGTGAAAATAGAATAGACAGCTAGATGCTTATAGTGTACTACCAATGCACAATGTGCAGATGTAAATAAATTTAAATAATACTTATTTATAAAAAAATGTGAATTATTTTTGTAATTAAATTAAATAATNTATCCTTTACCACACCCCGAGGTACTTTGACTGAACGGTCAGCCAATTGCAATACCATAGTGATTGGTTTGATTTCTCCCACCCCTAATTGCAAATAAANAAATTTGACATTTATATATATATATCTGTCTGTCCCTTTTAAATATTTGCACATCTAATTATATTATAGAANATAAATTAAGTGTCGAATAATTCATCCGTACTTTAATTATTGCTAAATTTACTTATTAATTTATTGTATAAGCCTTTGAGTGTCNTAATTGCAAATAAATAGAATATGACATTAGATTCACGCTAGCTCCTAAATCTAACAAAGCTTGTCCAAACTCATGGTTTCCAATGCTGCATGCAATGGTTGGACGACCAGAAGCCTTGTACTTGGGAGGAATCCACTGCTCAATTAGAGCACTAAATTGTTCTGTCAGGAATGATGTCTTCTTCACATGGTGTTTCTTCTTAACTGTACACAAATCCTTGAGAACTTTTGCATAAGTAGGAACTTGTTTAATCACATGCAAAAGAGGAAGATTGATTTTTACCTGCCTTAAATTCTTTAGGATTTCATTGTTAGGATCCAGAGTTCACTTGCTTGATTTTAAAGCTTGAGGGAATGGTACCTTAACAAGACTCTTTGTTACCTCAGGTTCCTTGGGCAGCTCGGCATCATTACTATCTTGACCCTTGTCTACATCCTCTGATTTGTTCATTGTTGTGATGTGTAATGAATCACCATTTCGTGTCACAATGACATTCACATCCTTCAAATTCTCTTGCGTCATGTGTTGACCATGGGGTGCGGACTGAG